GCCATGAGACCATGATGCAGGCCCCAGCACAGCAGCAGACAGTGAGTCCTGAGACCACAGCAGACAACAAAGGCAGTTAGGTCCCATGCAGAGACCACTCAAATGGCCTGTGGGCCATGAGGGGCAGTGGGTTCTAAGCACAGAGCCACATGGGGGGTGAGAGACCAATACAGGCAGGCTTGCCATGCAGAGGAAGTGCATTAGTGGGTTATGTTGGGGTAACGGAAAAGGCAAGAAAATGAGATGGGGAGGGAGAAGAGAGGGAGAGAGAGACAGAGAGAGAGAGAGAAACAGAGAGAGAGAAACAGAGAGAGAAACAGAGAGAGAAACAGAGAGAGAAACAGAGAGAGAGAGAAACATAGAGAGAGAGAGAAACAGAGAGAGAGAGAAACAGAGAGGGGAAATGGGAGAAGTTGGAAGAATGAGAGAGACAGAAGTTGCCTCTTCGGGAGAGAGATTGATATAAAGAAGGGACTGAGGCTGGAAGCTGAAGATCAGTTTGCCTGGGCTGATGGAGGAGGGAGTGGGCATGGCTTGTCTCTGAAAGGGACAAGACAGACCATAAATTCCCATTTCTTTTTTATAATAAAAGGCAGGGGTTTAGTCACAACAGGTTAAAGGAACTGGGGCAGAGGATTCTAAGACTGCTTCCTACTTATTTGTTGGCATCGCCTGGTTGGGGGGGGGTGGTTGAGAAATCTGGGTGCTGGTTACATCCCAGAGTATCTGTTCTCTTTGTTCCTGTCTGGTATTTGTGGTATGGAAATGTTTGGTGTCTCTTATACCTGTTTAAGGTATTGGAAGAACAGAAGACAAAGTTAAGTTTAGGGAAAATATTTAGGACCAGAGAATTCAGAGGGGTGTATCTGACCTGTTTAAGGTGAATCCTTCAATTTTTAAGACTATGAAAGGCAGTGTGAGAGAGAAATTTCATAGTGTGTATTTGTCCTCACTCCTATAAAACATGTAGGTATACACCTTACTAGCTTGTATTTGTATTTTGTTAAAATTTGTTTGGTGAGGTTGTCCTTTTAAATGACAAAACTTCTCAGCTGTCAAACTGCATCAGAGATCTTTGAGAAGGACAAAACTTTCCTGAGGAGTTCTTGATTAAAAAACAACAGATAACTTACTTGGTTGACACCTAGAGTTCCTTCTCATGGTCCTCCTTGATCGCTTTGGGTCAAATTTGTTTTTTTGCTGTTTAGTGCAGGGCCTGCCAGGCTCCAGAAGATCCTGTGGGCTAAGAAATCTGTAGGAAGACAAGCCTACCTTGACCTGAGCAGCTTGACTGTTGATTTCAGAGATTCTTTCCATTGTCTGTAGATCTTTATTTTAGATGAAAGGCCGTTTTACCCAGTCGTCAGTGCTTGGGAGTTAAAACAAGTGTGAATGGATGTTGTTTTGTGCCCATTTGTCTTTTGTCTTCTTTGGAAGAAATAAAATGCTACTTCTAGAAGCCAACCTGTCTCTTTTTGTTATGAAAAGTCTTCAAATAATTAAATATTTGAATGCCATATTCCCCAGATTTCTGAACAGTTGAGGGCTGTTTATCAGGCTTAACTACAGTCTAGAAATCTGCCTGGAGAGCTGGGTCCAAGCTTGACTGTACTGGCTCCTCAACTTAATAGGTAAAAGATAGAAAGAAGAAAAAAACTGTTTGCAATAAAGGGTTAACGACAGACCTGTCAATAGTAGAGAACAGCTTAATATATTTTAAATGAGGGTTGGATTGAATATAATGTATTTTTGTACGAGACTTAAAAGTACATACCAGTTTAAAATATGAGACATACTCTTTTTGTAGTCTGAAGTGAGATGCAATGAACAGTTATAGCATTTAACAGTAAATATAGATGGCTTTAAGTTACATGTATACACATACATACCCACAGAGAAGAGGAATTTGGTGACATGGATGCTCTTGGTGGGCCCTAACAAAGGCATGCCACTGCACAAAACACACATGCAACTGAGTCAAGAAGGGGAATTTAAAGACAAATCCATAAGTAAACAGAGACCAGGCAGGAAATACCTCAGTAAAGATGGTGGAAATTGGTCACCTGACCTGACTCTCAGTTAAGATGTCAGTGAAGTCACCTGACCTTAGTTAAGATGGCAGTAAGGCCACCTGACCTCAGTCAAAATTGCAGCCATCACATGGTGTATGGAAGAGAGATCTAGAGGTATGGTTTGTCCTGTCGCCAAGCTACCATACCTCAAGTCATGGGGGGAAACAAAAGTCTGGAAATGAAAACAGCTGCCTCTGACCAAACTTGTTGACAGCAGTAGCAGGAACAGTTTGAGGAAATGTGGAGCCAGTGGAGCCAGCGGGACATTGGCAGAGTGAGGGTTTATACCATAGCTGGAAATTTGAAGACCCGTGAAAATGGTGACCCCCAACATATATGGGCACGTCTCCCCTCTGTAGGAGGGATGTGAAATGGTGGTGAATACTGCAGGGCTTGTAGGAGAACTTCCTCTTTCTACAGGTGGGGTGTTAAAGCCTGACTGGCTCTGGTCCAGGTGACTCCGAAGTCCGAGAGGCTAGAGGCCGCTCTGAGCAGTCTCTCACGACTGGGACCACTGATGAGTGTTGGAAAGGCAAGGGAAGGGAAGGGAAGGGAAGGGAAGGGAAGGCAAGGGAAGGCAAGGGAAGGCAAGGGAAGGCAAGGGAAGGCAAGGGAAGGCAAGGGAAGGCAAGGGAAGGCAAGGGAAGGCAAGGGAAGAAAAAGAAGAAGAAAGAAGAAAGAAAAATCCGAGGGATCCTGGGCCATCAGTAGAATGCATGGGATGACTGATTTCGGGTAGTCTAGTCATGTTTTTTAGCTATGGAAAGCATGGCTATGGTTGAGCGCTGGAAGAGGAAATCACCATGGAAGCTGCTGGAGTGCCTAGAGGTCAGCCCTCAGGCAGATAGAACACGTGGTCATTGTGGAAAAATGTCCAGTTCCAGATCCAGACCCTGGGAGAGAAGTGGGAGGGCCTACTGAGTACAACAGCACCAAGGTGATGTTTTAAGTAAAAATGTAATGGTCCCTTGTGGCAGGCAGTGGATAGCAGGGCATAAGACCATACCACAGGTCTCTGAGCAGTGGCAGGCAGCAGGCAGTGGGTCACAAGACCATGGCAGATCACAAAGGCAGCCTGGTCTCAGGCAGGAAGCTATGTGTTTAGTGAGAGACTAAGATGGATAGGCACATCATGCAGTGTGAAGTTGTATAATTATTTAGTGGGTTATGGAAGGGAAGGGGAGAAGGGGGAAGAATACAAAAACAGGTAGGAAAAGAAAGAGAGAAAGAGAGAGAGAGAGAGAGAGAGAGAAGGGGAAAGGGGAGATATAGGGAGAAGGGAGAGACAGAAGCTTCCTCTTTGAGAGAGAAACAGAAATGGAAGGGACTCAAGCTGGAAGCTGAATATCAGCTTGCCTTATTGGATGGGAGATAGAGTGGGCATGGCTTGTCTCTTAAAGGGACAGGACAGACCATTACATTTTCCATATCCTTAAACACTGGCAAGCAATTAATCTGTGTAGTTAGTATTATGGAAATGTCCCCTTCTCTCTTTTTCAAATACTGCTTTTGGATGTTTAGTTTTTATTTCAAAATATTTTCGTACAATACATTTTGAAAATATTTGTTTCTCTCCTACAACTTTTCCCTGATACTTCCCACCTCCGTAAACACCCAACTTCACCCCCTCCTCTCTACTCTGGTGGGTCAAAGAATCCAAGAAAGATGCCTTGCCCACATCCCAATGTGAGGCACGGGGCAATTACTTTCTGCTCTCTGGGTAATTGTCTTTAGTGGATGGAAGAGCCATCAGTAGGAGGCCTGTGCTGTATATGCACTTCTCCCCCAACACTGTGGAGGCCTAAGGGAGTGACACTGAGCAACAGAGCAAAGATTGAGCCACCTAGATCAAAGGAGAGATATTCATTCTTCAGACCCTGCTGGCATCCAGAAAGGTAAGCCTCATTGATATCATATTTGGGCTTAGCAGTTTCTAGGAATCTGTCCTGCTTCTATGACTGTCTGCCAGATTGTGTTCAAGAGAATTTCCTTATTAGATTTTTCTTTTGTAAAAATCCCTGGGTCTGGCTGTGCTTTAGTGAATCCCACAAAGTTCACACACACCATGGGGTGACTTCCCTGTAAACACAGTCCCCTCTAGAGGGTTACTGACATGGACATTACTCTCTAGGGCTCAGCTTCAGTAAGTGAACAAAACTGACAAATAAAGATTAACAAAGAAAATAATAGTATAAACCATGAAAGAGAAAAATGAAAGAAGTTTTGTAGTTAAGCAGCAAGTGATTCAAAGGTCACACCATACATGGGGACCAACCCATGCTATGGGAAAATGTGCACAAAGCCAGCAACACTGAGACTCATGAGGCAGGGCTCTAACATGGGGTACTTCATGTGGTCAGGATGGCAGGAAGCCAGTGCGGAGCACCTGCGTGCGGGACACAACTGGATGGGACTAGCTTCCGCTCCCGCCTGAGAACACAAGACTGAGACATGATCGGTTAGTGTGAATGGGAGCATGTCCTTACTAACGTCCTTCTCCACTTGCTCTGGGTCCCATGGTGCTCCAGAAAATACTTCCTAATTGCAGCAGGCACACAGAGAAAACCGAGGGCACAGGTGAATTAATCTGCTAAGTGTTTTTTGTTATTTTATAAAAAGCTTAAAATAAATTGAGAACTGAGTAATTAAGGAGAAATAAGGAGATATGACACATTTGCATTTTGCTGTCTAAATTTAGATTTATTTATATATAAAAATACTTTTCATATAAAAATGAGACAGAAAATAAACATCAGAATAGGAGTAACATGAGAGTGAGAGAGAGAAAGATCTGATTGGAAAAGAGAGTAAGTGCGTTTTGAAGGCTAAATCAAGATGAAAGACATCAGTCTTTTGGGATTTAGCTCAGAGGTGGTCTACATTGGAAATTGTGGGTGATGAAGACCAGGAGACTGTGGGTGAGAGTGCTCAGCAGCAAGAACAGCTAGAGCATGCTGGGCGGCAGCAAGTGGTCTGGCAACATGTGGGGCGGCAGCAGCTGGAGATGCAGCACTGGGGTCTGCAACAGGTGGATACACAGCAGGTGGGGCGGCAGCAGGTGGTGTGGCAGCAGGAAGGCCTGCAGCAGCTAGAAATGCAACAGGTAGGGCGACAGCAACTGGGACGACAGCAACAGGGGTGGCAGCAGGAAGGTCTGCAGCAGCTGGAAATGCAGCAGCTGGGGCGGCAGCAAGAAGGCCTGCAGCAGCTGGAAATGCAGCAGCTGGGGCGGCAGCAGGACGGCCTGCAGCAACTAGAAATGCAGCAGCTGGGGCAGCAGCAGCTGGGGCGGCAACAGGTGGGCTGGCAGCACACAGACTGACAGCACTGGGGTCTGCAGCAGCTAGAAATGCAGCAACTGGGTCTGCAGCAGCTGGACACACAGCAGGTTGGCCTGCAGCAGCTGGACTGGCAGCAGCCTTGGCCACAGCCCTCCTCAGAGCAGACAGAGCCACAACAGGAGCTGACCATGGTGTCAGAGGTGGAGGTTCTGGGTGGGTTTACAAGAAGGTGGGTTGGAAGATTTGGAAGTGGGAGTCTCCCTGCCCACATCCCCTTTTATACCCCACTGAGGGGCTGCTGTGCTGACATGCAGCATTCTTTCCTTGCTATCGTCAAGGTTAATTAATAGGTGATTATCAAATTAGGAGAGTTCCTTTTCCTGGTTATGCTATTAAGGTGAATTTGGATAATTTCTTTCCTAGCATGTTAATGCTCACTGCCAGTTCTTCCTGAACCATCTCCTAAGTGGCTTTTTTTTTCTTTTAATTTCTCTCAAGAGAGCTGTCACCTGACATGTGATGTCCTGGTCTCCATGTTTCAGTGTCATTTTTTGTGGAAGCTCTTCCCTTCCTCTAGGCAGTCACATGCTTACTTTCTTGTAATTGCTCTGGTGATCCCGGGAGATACAGGTACTTTAGACTGATGGCTCATGCATAATAGGTCAGGTGAGCACAGAAAGACCAGTGGCTTGAGAAGAGGAATGCACTGGCACCCGGCTCTCTTCTTACTGGCTCTTGTTAATGGATTAATGGGGATGTTTCTGCAGATCTTAGCTGGCTAGGGCTGAAGGCATGGTAACTTTGTAGAGAATTAACAGTCAGGAGGCTTCCCTTAATGTATGAATTTAGAGATAATGATTTATGCACAACAAGTTAGAAATGGCAGCAGAGGCAGGTGGTATGTAACTAAGAGGGTTGAATCTGTGTGGATAGAAACATTATGTGTCTCACAACAGAGTGAATATAGACAAAACTGGTATGACCATTACTCTGTATCTATAGCAGGCTATATGCATGCATATATGTATAATTGAAAGATATTAATAGTACTGGACAAGCAATTGGTGTGCTCTTCCCTGGGAAAGACTATTTCTCTCCTTTGTTTCTCATAGTTCCTTATTGAGGGTTGAGGCCTCATGTGCATTCCTTTATTCACTTAAACAATAAACATATCTATTATTATTGTCTTTGATTAGCTCATGTTTAGGCAGTTATGTTAGTAAGACCAGAAAACATAAGCAAGTAACATTACAGACTGTGTATATTGTACTTATGTGTGTGTGTGTGTGTGTGTGTGTACCACACACACATGCAACATACATGTAACAGCAATAATGAAAAAAGGAAGCCATGGATTTGAAAAAGAGAATTGGATGATATAGGAGAGGGTTTGGGGGGGAGGAAAGGTAAAGGGAAATTCTGTAGTAAGATAGAATCTCAAGAAATAAAAGAAATAATTTTAATACAGAAATCAAGATCTTTAAGGTAAATAAGAGAGGGAAGGAGATGAGTTGGAAAGTACCCATCCTTCCTCTGGAATCCAGTCCTGACATGGTACTTAGGCCTGTGAAACATCAGCTATCAACAGGGCCAGTTCTCCAAGTTAAAGACCTCAAGTGTTGTATACAGTAATAGTTCCTTCACTCCTTTATTTTAAGCTCCTCCAGGGAAATAGCACATGTGCATTTGGAGGCTGGTAGGTAGTAGATCAAAGTTCACATGGAGTGACAATCAGAAAACAAATGTATATTTCCCAGGTCACCCTCATAGTCTCTCCACTGTGTCAACCATGGTACCTGAAGGTAATTTTCTCAGTCCATATATGTGAAATCCTGCAACTCCTTCCCTTCAGTTGTAGAGTAAAAACTATACAATAGAAAAGCCACACGAATCCCTGAATCAACCTAACCCTCATCGCTATACTGCAGGTGAGGCAGAAAATAAATATTATATACTAGAGCTACCTTCAAAGGCATGACAATGTAGGGACTGTTAATCTGCCCTATGTCCCTGTGTGTTAAGTCTCATGTAACGAAGATGGCTGGAGACAAAGAAGATACACACATGATTTAGCAACAGCAGTTGATATAATACATATGCAGTGTGACTTAGAACAAATTCTTGGTGTCTAGACTGAGCAGTGGAGAGCAGACTGGAAATATACATACACATATACATACATACACACACACACACACACACACACACACATATATATATATATATACATATATGGATTCTCTTTGGATTACTCTCCCTTAATTAAAAGACATCAAGTTATTACAGAATTTGAATAGAAGCTAATGCATAAAAGTTTAAGCTCAATTCTCAGCGACCATTTCAGATAATGCATCCTTCTTTTCATAAATTCAGATTCTGTGGCTATTGAAGTTGATTTTTCATAGGTGAAGATACCACAAGAGACATTCATGTTACCTAGGGTGGAACTTGACCATGCTAATATCCCTCTAGGCTTCAAATGTCAGTGGACAATCCTGGGGTGGGCAGTTGGAACAGCACTGTGCAGTAGAGGTAGAAAGAATATATTAAGCATTAGATGACACATTTTGACAGTCTTGAAGTTCTTATGTACAGATATGCTAATCGTATACAGATATAGATAGTACAGCAAGAACGAGAAACCAAGATATTGAAAATTCCCAGATTTGAGCTTCTCTTCTGGGTACTGCAGTAAAGTAATCAGAAAAGAGTTCTGGGTTGTCAATCACAGTAGGATTTGGGTGGCTGGAATCAGAAAACAATGAAAGCTATCATCCAGCTTGTATCCTCTACTTCCTACCATCCAGGATCCCATGCAAGCAATGCTTCTGGCCAGAGGAAACATAAAATTTCTTCAAAAACTAAAATAAAACTGTCGGAAGATTCAGCTATGCTGCTTCAGATATTATGTTCAAAGGAATAAAAGATAAAATACAAGAGGGACCCTTTTATATCTAGGTATCCTGTAGCACTACTCAATATAGAGGAATCATAGAGGCAGACTAAACAGAGTCTATATATGCACGGATATATAAGTCAAAACATATGGATAGTGTAGCATTATTTATATATCAAGGATATAGCCAATCTATGTGTAAGAAAATGAATAGAAGTAGGAATTGTCACAATAGGCAAAAAGACCAAAATCAGAAATACAATTATCAATGTTTTGTCAGATATGCATCACACACATACATGTTCACAATATTATACACATGCACACACACCACTGAAAAAGAAAAATGTTATAAATGAGAAGAAAATATACATGATAACAGAGAAGAGAAACTAGACAAGTTGAAGTGAGCACATATATATAACATGTGGGATAAAAGAAATATATGCATTTATGGTTGTAATTTCTACTATTTTGTCATGCTAATTTCTACTCTTGGCAATATGAGCATTCAATACTATCATCATTGAAAATTAAGTCACCAAACGATTGGTGACAAGAAAAATAATCAAAATTGTTCAGAAAAATGGGATGCAATTCAAGGACATGTGTTAAAAACTTACCATTTTGGGGGGACAGCAAATCCAAAATGAATATCTATACCATGGCATGTGCCACATATTATGGAAAATGTTTTCAATGGCGGCCATATTGAGATCAGAACCGTGAGTGTCTGGGAAGCTATGACCAATTCTGAAAGTTACAGTAAGCAAGTTCAGTCAGGAACTAATTGGAGAACATTTTATGAGGACCTAGAGCATAACTGAGGGTAGAGAGGCAAGCCAGCAAAGAGTTCTATAATGAGTAGGACAAGTCTGGAGACAAAAGGGTACCAAGTCACTCATGGACTTTGTGACTTTGGGAGAATACATTTGGATTCAAGGGAAAAGAGCATTTTTCTCAACCACCCTCTCACTGCTTGGGTGTTCTGCACCAGAGATTTCAACTCCACTATCTAAGCTTCAACTTCTTTCAAAGAGAGTCATTAAGTTTCATGCTTGTGGACCATTAAAACACCTTCTGTATTAGGAGAAAAACTCAGAAGTTAATAGAAAGCTGGTGTTTCAAAAGTCAACTGCCGGAGTCTGTTCTTTGTGTAGAAGGAAATAAAAATATAGATAGAAAAAAACCCAAAAATTTGAACAGAAGGCATGATGGCTTATTGTTTATATGCTTTGAAAATTTAGATTTATTTGTGAATGGTGAACATCCCATTTTTGAAAACATTGCTAAGGCCAAATAGTTCCATGAGGATGAAGTGAGATTGCAAAGACTCTAGAGAGGATCCAAAGTAGTGTACATTTTAGAGATAGCAAGCAGGCAGGAGTGTGCGCAGCATAATTTGTGTCCCAATTAATCCCAGTTGTATCAGAGATTTTAGGGTAGACCTCACTGGAGTCATTTTACAGGTTGTCTATCCAGAATGTTGTCAATAAGAATAGGACACTATGGATGAGAATGGTGAGCATCAGGATCCACCAGAACTAGCACATGCTGGTGGGCAGAAAGTTGTCTGGCAGCAGGTGGTCCTGCAGCAGGTGGTCCTGCAGCAGGTGGTCCTGC